ATGGCATTTTGCTGTATAACTGGTCTGGACTATCAATTACGACATGGTTTACAATTTTAATATATACAATCATTTTGAGAATTTTATATTTATAAGGTTACTTTTATTTTGCAATTTGCATCATGTAAGATAAGACTTAATTTGATGGTTGAAATTTGATGCCTGGAGAAAGAAATTTGCGCTTTAAATTTTGTCCAAACCAGCAGTAAACATTTTCATTATAAATAATTGTAAATACTAAATTGTGTGTGTTTCTGATTGACAAATTTGTGTAATAGTCTTCTTATTGTTCTCTTCATTGGTTATTCTTCATCGATTTTTTTTAAGGTAATATATCTTTATCTTGTTTCTTTTCATGTAATGTTGACATATTTGTGAGACTTTTAGGTTATAACTTTTACTAATGACCATACAATACCTTTGGTTATTCTTATGCAACAACGTTCGTGTAATTTTATCAAAACTAAAATTGAATAATATTGGGAAACAAAGGAGAAGTGTGTAGTATATAACTGGTGATCCCAAAAATAAAATATATAGAGGACTTTTCTATTACCAATGTATATGATTATCATTTTAAATAAAATATATAGTTTCTCATTGTTAATGCAATTAGGATATTCTTTATTTTTTTGTAATCTCAACATAGAACTTCAATGCTTGGAGCAGAGGCATGCATAAAGCATTTGTACTATGAAACAAAGTAAATAAGAAAAAAGCCATTGACTTCTCTATCTCTTATTTTCTTTTATATTCTCTAGTTTTTTTTATTACTTCTCGTTTTATAACAAAGCTTGAATTTAAATATTATTTTGATATTTGTGGGACCCATGTCAATAATTCACCTCTTCTTATTGGCGAGGGGAGGGGGAAAAAAAACCTTCTTAATATCAAAGCCATGACCTTTATCTTGTAAATTGGGCCCAAGCCTGGCCCTAAAAGATTTTCTTGCTTTGTGTATTAAATTTACCATCGAAACCTTACTTTATTGAAATTTAAAAGCCAAATATTCTGGGACATTTTATAAAATGTTTTGCCCTCCATGCTCCATTTAATTCTTTGCCTCATAAAATAATGTCTATAAAATTGTTGGGCCAAATCAATATTTTGATTATTTTCTAACTATTTTTTCTTGAATTATTCAAGAAAATAGGACCTTAATTCTCATATAAATTAGTTTTAAAATTATGTAAGCTATTTTTGGAAAAATAGACCTCTTCATAGTATATCCAAATCCTCAAATAATGTTAACGTTGCCCCAATTTTCAAGACTTTGAATAATATCTCTAAGCCTTAAATATGTCTTAGACAAGCTCTTTTATACTTTTCCAGATTTTATTTTATAGAATGAATAATATATATTTTATTTTATATATATTTTGCTAACGTATTTTATATAGGGATAATTAATCGCCAGGTCCTTATAATTTCATCTGATTTTTAATGAGGTCCTTATAAAATTTTTTCTTTTTATCAGATCCTTTTACTTTCGTGTGTTTTTAATTAGATCCTTCTATTTTTTTTTCTTTTTATCAGATCCTTATAGTTTCACTTATTTTTTAATTAGGTGCTTTGTAGTTTTTGAAAAATTATTTATTAACTTTATTCTTTAAAATTAATTTCATTTTTAAATTAATAATTATATAATTGGACAAAATAATTAATATAATCATTTAGTAATTAATAAATAATCAGAATAATAATTATACTTAAATATAAATTATTTATAATCATATTTTAATTTTATAAAAATTTATTATTATAATTTGAATTTTATAATTATAAAAATTTGAATTGAAAATAAATAACGTATTTGTTTAACTAAAAATTTAAAAGAATACTAACATAAGATTGTTACAATAATTTATATATTTTTTAAATGTTATTATTTGTAAAATAAAGAATAAAAACTACAAAGACCTAATTAAAAACAAAGTAAAACAATAAGGACCTGATAAAAAGAAAAAAAATTATAAGGACTTGATTAAAAATATATGAAAATATAAGGACATGATAAAAAGAAAAAAAATTATAGGGACCTGATTAAAAACCAGTTGAAACTATAAGGACTTATATATTAATTATCCCTTTTATATATATATATATATATATATTTATGTAAAAGGGCGTTTTTCTTTGCACTGCATAGCTAGATTTCATTCTATATATTACATGTTCAATCATAAAATTTAGCTCAGACAATCATGACAAGCAATCACACAAACAACTAACCAACACAATATTAATATCCAAGTCAATAACTTTGCTACCTTTTCCTTTGGTATGACCTTTTTATTTTAAAATTTGATAAATATACATTATGATTTTTTTTTTGCATAGTTTTAATTATAAGAGATGCGTATTTCCTTTTGATCCCAAATGATATTATGTGAAGGAATTAATTTTTAATCACTTTCATCTCAGACTTGTTATATATTTTCTATCAATAATATTTCTCATATAATGAATTCTTTCGCATATTTTTGGTTGGCAGGATTTGACTTCTTGTATTAATTCAGGGGACTTCCAATTTCTCAAAAAATTAAAAGGTAAGGATATAATCTAACTTGCTAGTGTTTCTCTTTATTATTTTTATATCATCTTAATGTTTCTATTGTTATTTTCCTTACGCTTTCGAGAGAGAGAGAGAGATATATATATATATATATATCAATTCTATTTTTAAAATTAATCATATTTTCAGCATTTTGATGATGACTTCTATTACGAATTATGAAGCGTGTCATATATGCAACACACCAAAAGAACAAAAGTAAATGTGATATTCTAAAACTTGTTAAACCGTTGGTGGGGGGCTCTCTTGTCGTTACCTTTCTTGGAATTTTTTGTTTCACCCTGCATTACTTCTCTTCTTGCCGAAATATGGGGAAGGGCACCCTTTAGGGCATGTTTGGTTTGAGGGGACGGTGGGAGAGGTTTTAACAGATGGAATATGAAATTTTTTTTTATAATTTTATTATATTTTTAGGATATTTGATTTATTTGGTTTTATTATCATTTTAAGATTTATTAGTAGTTTAGTATTATTATTATTGTTATTATTATTATTTTAGTATAATTAGATTTAAGGTTTTCATTTTATGGCAAACTTGATTATTGAATGATGTTGCAGTTATCATTTTCCTTCGGCTTGTTTCCTCTTCTCCATTCTCTATTTTCTCTTCTCTGCTCTTTCTAATCTCTTCCTTTCCTCTTCTCTCTTCTTGTTTTATATCATTAACCTTACTTTGTTTGGTTTGATTAAAAAGGAGGAGATGGAGGAATATTTAATGATCCTTTATTTAATTCAAGAGAGGAAGGAGAGGAATAGTAATAGTCAATTTATCATCTTACCCTCACATATTAATTTTTATTTTTATTTATATATTACATAAATTAATTTACATCCTAATTCAAATTACATAATTTAATAACAATGCGATATTGTTATATTAATATGTGTATTAAACAATTGGTACAGTAGATTTTTAGTCTAATTAGCATAATAATATATTTCAAATAATCAAATTAGCAAATATACTTTGTTTTAAAAAAAATGAAATTTTTTCTCCTTTGGCTATGCTTTTCTTCGTGCTTTAAAACATATTTTAGTTAATAAAATAATATTTTGGTAAAATTGTAAAAACTAATTAATCTATAATAATATAATTTTTCACCATAATAATATTTTTAATTTTTAATTAATTTTTATTATAATATATTTTTAATTATAATAATATATATTTATTTATAGTAATGTATTTTTATTTGAAATTATAATAATATATTTTTTATGGGTATTAATAAAATATTAAAAAAAGTAAGAGGGTAAAATGGTCTAAAAATTTAGCTTCCTTCCAAAAAAAAAAACCTAATTTCAAGAGGAGCTAAAATAGGAGAAGGTGAGGGAGGAGGGAAAATTTTTGCTCCCCTCCCCTCTAACATTTCTAGCCAAATGAGGGGAAGGACTCATTTTTCCTTCCCTCCCTCACCCTTCCCTCCAACCAAACAGACTCTTGGAGATGGCTCCCTCCAACCAAACAGGCCTTTAGAGATGCTTAGGATCGGGGCTACTTTTAGTAGGTGTGTATTCTCATGGTGTCGAAATTGATTCGTTATGCTACATATATGAGGCATCTCATGTACAATTGGGGTGTTGCTGGAATTGTCTCTCCCAGAGTTAGCAAAAGAAAAACCTCAATCAAAGCAATTAGTAAGAGGCAGGGACCGATCTACAAAAGCAAATCAGAAGTGAAGAGAGAGTAGAGCTAAAAGCTGAAGTAACAATAGAGTGCACTAAAGTAAATGAGCAATGAAAAAAATATATTATCGTCCCAAAAGTCTTTTGGGTGATCCACAAAGGCACCATTGGCTAGTTTCATAAATGGAGGTGTATAGCCATACAGGATAATCTCCCAGATTTTGAATTTCGTCTCCTAATGAATACTTCCATCCTTTTTCTTCTCTTCCTAAAGTTGAAGCATTACAAGATTGGCGGTGAAAGATCAAAGGATGATTTATTCATGCCTTTATGAAGAAGTTTCTCTGATGATGGTTATGAAAGGGTTTTGCTAAGTATGATACACAAACTAAGTAAAAAAATATTGGTGGTTACTAGTAGGATTGGCATGATTTAGGTATAACACATGAGATGTCAAAGATTAGGGGGTCGTTTGTTGTCCATTAAGCTATTCCTTCGAATAGCATATTTTAATGAAGTATAAGTAACCTCTGATTTGAAACCACTATCCAAATCCAACTTCAAAATGCATTAGTTGAGTCATAATAATGCATGACTTATAGTGAATTTCTTTCAGGATTCATCTTCATGTATTTTACTTTCTAAGATGATTATCATAGGTACCAAATTAGTATACATTTTGCTCCGTTTTTAGTTAGTCTCATTCATTTTTTCATTTTGTTATAATCATTATGTGGGTATTTCACAACTTAAATCAAGATAGAAAGATAGAATAACATTAACTTTATTTCCATGTTAGATGGAGAGCATCCTTGCCGAACCTGTAAAGAACAAAACCCAAAGTTTTGTGAACTTTGTGGAAAATGAAGCTCAGTATTTATGTTGCTTCAATAGTTATGGTCAAGAGTATGAGCACGCAGAGAAAAGATTGAATGCAAAACTCAAAGATGTAAGGAGAATAATTGATCAAGCTAGGGGTGTTTCTCCTGCCACATCTGTAGCACTACAATGGACACGTGAAGCTGAAGAACTCATTGATGCTAACACTAAGAAAGAGAAATGCTTTAATGACTTGTGTATTAATTGCTGGCGTCAATATCAAAAAGGCAAAGACTTGGCAAAACGGACTCTAGATATTGACAAACTTCTAGAGAGAAGTAACTTTGACATAGTGGCAAGTCCAATTGAACTTCCAGGTATAAAATACCGTTGCTTACCAAATTTCATGCCTTTTGATAGTAGAAAGTCAACATTTGAAAAACTTAAAAAGGCACTAGAGGATGAAAAAAACATTATGATTGGATTGCAAGGCTTGGGGGGAACAGGCAAAACCTCGATGGCAACAGAAGTAGGTGCTAAATTAGAAGGATCAATATTCAGAAAAGTCATCTTTCTTGTTGTCTCTAAGCTTCCAGATTTCAAAAAGCTTCAAGGTGAAATTGCTAGGAATTTGGGTGTGGAATTAAAGAATGGAGCGGAAGAAGTACTCCATGACAAAATATTGGCCAAAATCAAAGCATTAGAAGAAAAAATTCTTATAGTACTAGATGACGTGTGGATGGAGTTTGATCTCACGAAAGAGTTGGGGATTCCTCCTCGCCACTTGCACAAGGGTTGCACTATATTGATAACCACCCGGAGCAAAGAGATTTGTACAAAAATGGATTGTCAAGGGATCATTGATCTACATAAATTGACTGATAAGGAAGCATTGTCACTTTTCCTCGAGCATACTAATAGCTCCTCTACTTTGGAGAGTTTGGCACAAAATATTGTGGACCATTGCCATGGAGTACCAGTTGTAATTGTAGCTGTAGCAAGATCATTAAAAGGGCGACCTTCTTTAGTTTGGAAGGAAGCGTTGAGGAACTTGCAAAGAGGTGAGACAATATTTAGGGTTCGTGATGATGATTTAAAAGGGGTCTATGAAGGTTTGAAATTGAGCTATGATAATTTGAAAAATGAAAAAGCCAAAAGGCTCTTATTGATATCTTCCCTATTCCCCGAAGATTTTGAGATTCCTATGGAGTTTTTAATCAGAATTGGTGTGGGAATGGGTCCTTTTGGGGAAGTTGATGACTACAATGAAAGAAGAAGAAAAGTACTTGATGCTATAGTGGAACTCCTAGATTCTTCTTTATTATTGAATACAAAGAGGGAATGCGTAAAGATGCATGATTTGATTCATGAAGTATCCTTATCAATAGGAGAAAAGGATGTTCAATCTGTCATTGAATCTAAACCGCCTAAAGAGGGCTTGCAATGTTTATTTTGGAAAAGCAATTCTTTTCCAAGGCACTTTGATGGTAGAAACCTTGAGGTTTTACTTTGGGTTCTAAATAACTCAAAGGATTTGGAAGTCCCCAATACATTCTTTACAGTGATGAAAAAGCTCAAAGTTTGGTTTCTATGCGGTGAAGGTTTTTATCAAATCTCAGCTCCATCATTATTTCCATCAATTCAGTCATTACAAAACATTCAAACTCTCATGATAGGAAATTTTGCCTTATGCCACAGCATCTCTATGTTGGGAAGGTTACCAAATCTTGAGAGTCTATGGTTTGATGATTGTTCAATTTCTAAATCACCTGGAGAAAATTTTGAGCTAGAGAAGTTGAGATTCTTAAGGATAGAAAATTGTGAAATTGATATGAGTAATCCTTTTGAACTAATTGAAGCATGCCCAAAGCTAGAGGAGTTGACTTTTTTGAGTAATCAGTATGATGAGGGGGAAATAGAAAAGAAAATTTTTCATAAAGCATCTTTTCATACGTTACAGATATATCAAATATCTTGTGATGGTCAGGATGAATTTTTAGATTATTTTGAGCAATGTGGTTCCCTCTCAAGATGCTTTAAGCCAAGTAATTTAAGGCATTTAATCTCTGAGGCAACATTTAAGCAACTTGTTAAAACAGCTGAGCTTCTCATCTTAGAAGGTTATGGAGAAACAAAACAGAAAAATCTTGTCCTCGATATTGTTCCAGTAGACAACAAAGGCAGGACTGACTTGATCATTCTTCAATTGGATTCTTGGCCTGACATGCGATGTCTCATTGATGTTGCGAATAATCGTCTTGATGTAAAGAATGCTTTTTCCAATTTAGTTGGACTATACCTTTCTGAAATGGGACTAAGCAATATATTATTTAATGGCCACTATAACTTGTGTCATCTAAAGACCTTGAAACTGAACGGGTGTCCAAAGCTGACGTCAATTTTCCTCCCATTCACTGCTCAAAGGCTTTTACAGTTAGAAGAGTTGAACATTGAGAGATGTGATGCATTGGAATGCATTGTAGAAGATAAGAGTTCAAGAGGGGAAATAGCTGGTGGAGATGGTGACAATGATCAAAAGAGCTACGACACTTTGTTTCCAAAGTTTAAAATTCTTAAAATTGATAGTTGTGACAATTTAGAAATAATATTGCCAATCCTTCACGGTGGATGGCCTCTGGAAAGAATAATCATACGGTTGTGCAAGAAGTTGAAATATATATTTGATAAGTTCCAAGAGGTCAATGTTATGCTTCCCTCTCTGGAAGAAATGCAACTTTTTAGTCTGTCAAGTCTGGTTGGTGTTTTCAGGGAGTATGAAAAATCCACCTCTTCGTCACCACAACGGCCAGTACCCACACCTCCAAGCACCAAGATACGTTCTTTTTCTTGGGCTCAAGTATGTTGTTTTGAATCAAAGGCGACAAGTGAAGAGGCTGATGTTGCTGTTTCTACGGGGAGATTGCTTGACGAAGGAATCTCACGGGTATGATCAGCTCGCTTCTCTACTTATGTTCAAATTTCTTTTTACATTCAAGTCTCTCTCTTGTGAATTATACATTGTTAATTATTTCAAAAAGAAAAATGATTTACAATTAAATAAAATAAGGTATGAGTGTTAAAAATATTTATTGTGATCCTTGGTACGATACATTATTTAAAGTACCTGTATTTGCATGGTTGATTGAATCTGTAACAAGATTTTGTAAATACGTCTTGTTATAACAATTGTTCTTGGGTAAAAATACACATACATAAACATATTCATGTGCATACACACATGCCTTTTATTGCAAGAAATATAGTTAACAATGCTTAGCACATAAAAAATTTATGATATATCTTTGTTGAATTTCTTGAAATTATAATCGGATAACGATAGTTTCCTAGATTTCAACCAAATTACACATAATCTACTACAACAAAAATCTTCATTACCTCTAAGTTATTTTCCTAGTTTAGATATCTATGAGCATTACGATTGCGTAAACAACAATGTCTTTTTGAAGGGATTACTTGCATCAAAGAAATGGATTGATACTGCTCCTACAATTGGGAGACAACTAGCACTCCATGTTGTTGGTCATATTAGGAAGATGGAACTTGCATATCTCTCTTCAAATTCAGTATCAACTTTGTTCACTTTATCTATGGCATCAGTGATATCATGGGAAGAGATGACAATCAGGGGTTATGATGGGCTAAAGCACTTGGCAACGAGTGAGGAGGATGATTATAAAGATCAAATCAACTGTAGTTCCATTTTCCCAAAGTTACAGAAACTTCATATCTCAGGGTGCAGGGACTTGGAATTTTTATTTCTGTCTGCAATATCTATAGAAATTAAGAATTTAAAGTCCTTGACCATTGAAGGCGCTCCTCAGCTAACATATGTCATTGAGAAATACCAGCATCAGCATCATTTATCCCATCAAAATCAGAATGACGAGTGGCACTTTGATCTCCCTGCTTTGGAGGTCCTCTGTTTAGACAGAGTACCTAAGTTTATCAGCATTGGTCCCATGAATTATAAATCACAACTAGATTTGAATACCACAAAGGTAATGCGCTCTTTTTATCTTCATGTTGTTTGTTCTCTGTTGATACACTTACTCAAAATTGAAATGTAAAAAAAAGACGTTTGAAAGCACTTTATAAAATTTTTTTACGTACGTGATTGATACTTAATTTGCTAAATATCTTGAAATTATAGTTGGATGAAGAGAGTATTAAAAAAAAAAGTCAGATGAAGATTGACTACATGATGTGCTAGTTTTCTGGATTTCATGCATGTCTACAAGTATCACTTAAAAACTTAGCTATACATATGTGTGGGTTTGTGTATATCTTAGGTGTCAAAGAGAAATATATCACGGATATAGTGAAATATAAAGAAAAAGAAAATGAGATTTGCAAACACTTTATAAATTTTTTTGTTAATGACTATGAATTCTAAAAATTTCAAAAAATAATTAAGATCACTGGTTAGAATTAAATTTTTTATATTCATTCTTTGCTATATTCTTCATCACTGGTTAGAATTAAATTTTTTATATTCATTCTTCGCTATATTCTTCATTTTTTTAATTGCATAAATTTAACCACTTCAATCATTGTTTTTGATATTTTCAATATTCATATTTTCAATTTTTTCATACCTAAATTTCTTTTTTTTAAACCAATTACTCAACTTCGATGTTTTCAACACTCATTTAGTTTCTTTTTTTAATTGAAAGCATAAAAAAGAGTAGGAAATAGATAAAAGTATTGAAAACATTGAAAATAGTAGTATTAAAAAAAATTAAAGTTGACTAGTGAGAAAATCAATTTAACAAAACTTTCGATTTCAACCAAGGAGTTTGGTCCATCTTTGATATTCTTAAACTTCACAGTCCTTTGTTTTATAAATACGTTGATCATATTGTCATTGTGAAGTGAAACATATATTAATTTGACAAAATCATCTATGAATATTCTAATATACTAATCTTTTAGATTAGTTGATTGTCGAGCCATTATAAATTAGAATATTAGAATGGAGCACAATAATTCAAAGGGTTAGATTCAAGAAAGACGATGAAAATATGACAGTGAGAGATCTAATAAATTTATTTTTGGGAATAACTAAGATAAGGTATCAAAATACTCTACTTTTTGGTTAAATTGATGTATATTGACACTTTATGAAGACTCATAGTTATCATTGTTTTGATTTATTGTTATGCTTTGATATTATTTAATTTGCTGTACATCACTGCATCTAAAAATTTTACTTAGACTTTGTTTTCAGAATCTTCATTACCTGTAAGTTATTTTCCTAGTTTAGATATCTATGAGCATTATGATTGCGTAAACAATAATGTCTTTTTGAAGGGATTACTTGAATCAAAGAAATGGATTGATGCTGCTCCTACACTTGGGAGACAACTAGCACTCCATGTTCGCCATATCAAGAAGATGGAACTTGCATGTTTCTTTTCGGATTCAGTATCAACTTTGTTCACTTTATCCATGGCATCAGTGATAGAATGGGAAGAATTGACAATCAGGCGTTATGATGGGCTGAAGCACTTGGTAATGAGCGAGGAGGATGATTATAAAGATGAAATCAATTGCAGTTCCATTTTCCCAAAGTTACAGAAACTTCATATCTCAGAGTGCATGGACTTGGAATTTTTATTTCTGTCGGCAATATCTATAGAGATTAAGAATTTAAAGTCCTTGACCATTGAAGGCACTCCACAGCTAACATATGTCATTGAGAAATACCAGCATCAGCATCATTTATCCCATCTAAATCAGAAAGACGAGTGGCACTTTGATCTCCCTGCTTTGGATGTCCTCTGTTTAGGGAGCGTACCTAAGTTCCTCAGCATTGGTCCCATGAATTATAAAGCACAACTGGATTTGAATACCACAAAGGTAATGCTCTCTTTTTATGGTGATGTTGTTTGTTCTCTGCGGATTTGCTTACTCAAAAGCGAAATATAAAGAAAAAGAAAATGAGATTTGAAAACACTTTATAAAATTTTTTTTGTTAATGATCATGAATTTTAAAAATTTTGAATTAAATTTTTGGTTAGAATTTAAATTTTTTCTATTTTGAGTCTTTGCGATTTTCTTCAATTTGTTAAGTACTCAAAATTAATCGCTTCAATTCTTATTTTAATAGTTTCAATATTCATATTTAAAATTTTTAAATACTTTGCTTTGATCTGCTTTGCTAGTCAGCTTTGATGTTTTCAGCACTCATATTTGATTTTTTTTGGAAGTAGAGTAAACATTAAAAATGAGTATTAATAGATAAAAGTAATGAAAACATTGAAAATAGAAGCATTAAAAAAAAATCAAAGTAGAGTAATGAAAAAATCAATTCAGCGAAACTTTTGATTTCAACCAAGAACTTTGGCCTGTCCTTGATATTTTCGAAATTCACTGTCCTTTCAATGAATTTTTGATTTGTTGGCATATAAAACAACAGGAAACAAAGGTATGACTCTGTTCAACTTCTCTTACTAATCCTAATATATTCCCCCAAATGATAAGTTATGTTTTAATACTATTTCTCACTACATTCATTTGTTCTCTTAAAGAAGCAGAAAATAATAATATTACGCCCCTAAATCTCTATTTTCATAAACTATAAGGGATTTTTTGTGGTTATTTTCGTACAGACATGTTTGCAAAGAGCACTTATATTTAAAATTCAAATGTATTTGTTGCCTCTTAATTTTTATTTAATGGTTTCGCTCACCCTAAATTCTACTATAATTTTGTTCAAATTGGGCTAAGCATTTTAAAGTTCTTTTTTTTTTAAAAAAATAAATTTGAAATTGATATATCTCGTACATGGAATTCGTAGGCAATTGAGATGCAGAGGCAAACTTTGAAAACTCTTGAAATTCGAGACTCTACAATAAAAGAAATTGTTGATTTGACACATGTGGACAAAGAGAAAAATGGGGATGGACTTGAGCCATTGACGTCAAGCTTACAAAAGTTGGAGTTGTTTCGTCTACATGAGTTGGTGAATATATGTGTGGGGCCTAAACATATCATATGCTTCCATTGTCTTCAAGCCCTACACATTGAGGAATGCAGAAAGCTCAAAGTTATCTTCTCCACATCTGTGGTGCGAAGCCTACCAATGTTGAAAAAATTAAAAGTATTAAGGTGTGAAGAATTAGTTAAAATTGTTGAAGAAGATAATGAAACAAATGATGATGATCATTTGCGCCATGAACCATGCTTTCCTAACTTAGAAGTGGTCGGTGTCGGTGGGTGTGGCAAATTGAAGTACCTGTTTTCTATCACTATTACTGGTATCCTTCCAAAACTAAGATTTTTGGTGATAGTGGAAGCCAATAGACTTGAGCATGTACTGGTAAGAGAAGGGGAGATGAAAGAGATGGCCACGAAGGATGTGCTTCCGCAACTAAGTCAATTGAACCTATACCTTCTTCCCAAACTTGTTAGTATCTGCCATGGGATTGATTTTCAAGCTTTGAAAGAAAATGATAACACGGAAGTGATCGATTGTCCCAACTTTTCTTTTTATGGTATGTATTGAGAAAAGTAATTTGTTCTTTAGAATTGAAAATTATTATGAGTTTTATTATAACAACGAAAATCTCTTAATCTCAGAAACTTCAACTACCCATTTTCAAGCAAGCTCTGGAACAACATATTCTCAAGTTGAAGAAAAAGCAGAGGAGAAGCTTTCACCTCATTTGAGTACCGAACAATCTTTAAATACGGGAGAAGCAACACAACAAACCCTCACAAAGGTATGATTCTGATTGCTAATGGCATCATTTTACTGCTACTTCAATGGTCCCGCATCAATGATTATATGCATGCTTGATTGTTTTCAATTTGTAGCAATGTTCTGGAAATTCTGTCCCTTTTATGAGAAAAACAGAGTTTGGAGATTATAGTTAAAATGCCAACAATATACCCTCACGCGAGCACACACCAGAGAGCGTGTGTCTCTTCCCATTGCTTTATAAATTTGACATAAACTTAAAAAAAAAAAAAAAAACAGACCATGTAGTTTTGGACTGGGCATTGAAGCAACAATTCATTCCCCTGTCATAAGCTTGTTATTTTAAAAATACCAAGAGACATCATCATTATCATTAGATTTTTTTTTTTTGGGTTACATCAATTGATTCTTATTTTATAAGGTGATAACCTTTAAGATTTCTTTTCACCTTATTAAAGACTGGATTGGAAATTTGAAATAAAAATTAATAAATAATAATATTTCTTTTAGTAAAGGAAACAAACAAAGTTACTGTCAAAACTTATTGTAGGGTCACCAATTAAATTAAAGATATGACCCCTAAGAGTCCCCAAAAAACTTCACCCAAAATAAATAAATAATCCAAAGAAACAAAAATTAGAAACCTTTTCCCTAAAAACTTTAGGTTCTATCACCTATATTATTGGGATGAGATTTTCTGCAAAAATAGTAGTTCAAAGCTCTAATTTTAGCTCTTGAAAAGTCTTTCGCTCTAACTAATTCTTAACTTTCCCTCCATACCATACTATATTTGAAATCATTGGAGTCTTTAAATTAATTAATGTTCATTTTCAGATCTCCCTCAAGCATGCTGGCCGAACGAGGCCTTACTATATTAAAATTAATTATGCTACAGATTAGCTCCTACACCATGGTCTCTGCTAAGCTTATCATCATATTCTAATTTAACAGAAAATTAACTTCCTCTCACTAAAACTAAGTTATCCAAAACAGGGCCTTAAGAGAAAAGCTTTAAAATCTAATCCCTTTTGTTGCCAATCACTTTGAAAGGCCCACCAAACACGAGCTTTTAGACATGCCTGTGGTGCAGTTTGGGAATTTAAAACACTTGCTCCATGTCATCATATATCAAAACAGTAGCATTTAAATCTCTCTGAGCCACAAAATTTTTAATTCAATGAACATCTAAACGGTGCTGTCCAAAGAGGGGATAAGAATCAAAGTTTACATTTTAAAATTTTCCAGATTCATAAACTCCTCTTTTAAATACGTTAAGGGGTTTAGACTTTAGATTCAACCAAACCTAATTCTCTCTTTTCCAATTAATTTGACCGAAGAAGGGAGGAGAATAAAACTTGGTTTCAATTCTACCTTGAAGCCTTTAGGTGTATACTATATTTTAGTTCCCACCTAATTTCTTTAATTTCTTTAAATTCTCAACCGAAATAGGCTTTTTGACCAATAGTTCATATTTGAGACATTTAAATTTTACATAATATTTGTAAGACTCAAATATGCTTTGGAAATCTCTTTTATACATTTTGAGACTTCTCTTTGATTCTCCCTATTCCAACTACTTAAATATAAATTTAGTACATAATTAAACATTATAACAGTGGCAAAAATTCAGCTTTTCAATTCCAGATTTCAGATCCCATAGGAGAATTCAAATAATACTCTCGTGAAACAGAAACCCTAGATACAAAAATCCACCTCTTCTCACACAAAATCAACATGCATGGAATAAAATCAACTCACAATCTTTAATCCATCTTCTGAGTATGATTTAAACCGCTCATCCATATTGCAAGCTTACCTCATGAGCTTCTTATTTTGCCATTTCATGAATCCCAACCCAACAAATCTGATGCTCTTCTTTTTGGACTTAGTGCACCATGTGCAGTAAGTTGGGTTATGTATTGGCCCAATTTCCTTTTTAGGCCGGATGTGATGAAATTGCCCCTGTGCCCATCACTATCAGTGCTAAATTTTTCTAATAAATTTTAAAAATTAATCTGGGACACATTTTATGAAGATTTATTTTAAGTTTCTCTGGCTACAAAAGTAATTTTGTTCCTCAAATTTTTATGCTGAACATTAGTCTCGAACTATTTGTAATTCAATTTTTGGAAAAATGGGCCCTTATTATCCATAAATTAGTTTTAAAATTATTAAGTCATTTTTTAAAAATATAAGCCTCCTCAAAATATTTATAAATTCTCAAAAGAATATTTCATAATATTTTTCGCAATATTCCTAGTCCTAGAATAATTTTAATAATTATTTTTCTTTTTATTTCCTTAAATTCTGATACAAAATAGGCTTTTTGACTGATATATAATTCATTTTTGAGACATTTAAATTTTAAATAGAGACAAAGTATTCATTTAATCCTTTAAATTTATACATAATTTTAATTTAACCCCTTAACTTAAAAAGTATACTTTTAATTCTTTAATTCTAAAATTGTTAACAAAAAATAATGACATTGAGATCTTAAATATTGATAAAAGAATTCTCAAATGTTAACAACTTAACATATTAATTTTAAAAATAACCATGATTGTTACAAAAAATTATCATATAAGCCTAATGATTTTTCAGTTAAAAGACAAAATATATTTTTTAAAGTTAAGGGATCAAATTGAAACATTGTATAAAATTAAGAGACTAAATATATACTTTAGCTTTTAAATAATGTCCCCAAACCTCAAATATGCTTTGAAAATCTTTTCTCTACTTTTGGAAGCTTCTCTCTAATTTTTGGGCATTTTTTCCTAATTATAATTTTGATCTATATTTTCTCTTATTTACAGTTTTGCTCTTAAATTCACTATATTTTTTAACTTTTAGGTCAACTTAACTTTTTTAATCAGTATTCAAAATTCAAATGTCACCATTACTGCTAGATATTAGCTAATAAATTAATTCTTTTCCATGGACAATAATTAGAACCGATTTAAAAAAGGTATCACCGAAGCTGGGATTAATTGTCCTTTAGTTATAGATTTTTATTCTTTATCTATGTCTCTATTATACAATAATGTTCTTTTTGTGCTTTAAAATTGTCATACGAACCCAATTGTGTTTTCTTTTGTATAAAAAAAATTCTATTTGCTAGAAGAAAAACATATAATTTGAAGGGGATATTTAAAATGCCAAATATAATCTCTAATGCCCATAAATATAGTTAGTCAGTTAAAGCGCGCGTGCGTGCGTGAATTTT